TGAGTTTCATTCAAAAGATTAGTGTCCGGTTTGAACTATTTTTGTCCTTACTTAATTGCTCATCTTTTGATCTTGAACTAGAATGGATGTTTTTTTTGTGGTCTATGAGTTTAGTTGATGTGTTTAGTTGGTGTGTTTCTGTGTGTGTGTATCTTTAGTTGGTCTGTGAGTGTGTGTGTGTGTGTGTGTGTGTGTATCTTTAGTTGGTCTGTGAGTGTGTGTGTGTGTGTATTCTGCACTATAAGTGTGTGTGTGTGCTCTGTAAGTGTGTGTGTCTGCGTGTGTGTATATTTAGTTTATAACCATGATATTACAATGTGAATGTTTTGTATGCTGAACTGCAATATTCTGTGGTTGTTGGTTGCAGAGAATAGGAACATAAACGGAAGGATAAGGCTAAGGCTACTGCATTACAGGTGTCCTTTAATTTCCCTCTTGACATGCAATGCCTAGCAATTGTGACTTGACTGGTTATTTTTTTTTTGTTGATCCAACATTAATTGTGACTTGGTTGGTTATTTTTTGGGCTGTTAATGCAGTTACTTGTTTCAAAATTCTTTGTATACCGTTTATTTTGATCTAGTTCATTTCGTATCATAATCACTTCATTTCCATCACCCTTAATAACAGTAAATATTACATATATAATGTCCTTATTTAATTTTCCTTTTTTTTTTGTTTGGATAGATATGGATCGAAGGAAGCTTTTATTGATCTTATTGTTAGAGATGTCTCATTTAAAGACAATTTGCATTTGTACGATTCTTGTGTTGATGATGGTAAGGGCCAAACAGAGACATGTTGAACGACCCACTTTGACTAACCGTTCACTTGTTAGACGAGAGATTAGTTTGTGTTATCTGAATGGTATAATAGGGAATACTGATATTGAATGTGTCAACGAATTGAGAATGGATAGAATGACTTTTGCCATATTATGTGACTTACTTCGTCAAGATGGGAGGGTAAAAACTGATGGTTTGGTGTCTGTAGAGGAGCAGATGTGTATGACTTTACAAATACTAGCACATCATACTAAGAATCACAGTGTTGGCGGTAGATTTTATAGGTCGGAAGAGACTATAAGTAGGTATTTCAATAGCGTATTGCAAGGAATTTTGCGATTATAAGGTATCCTACTAAAAGTCCTTCAGCATGTGCCTATTGATTCTACAGATCCTAGGTGGCGATGTTTTAAGGTATGATAATTTTTTTTTCATTTTCCCTAAGCTTTAACTCTTCATTCCCTTTGTATAAATTAACAAAAGCTTTATTTTTTATTTTTTTAGAATTGCTTGGGAGCAATAGATGGAACACACATTGATGTGCATGTACATGAAATTGACAAACCAAGATACCGAACAAGAAAGGGTCGAGTCGCAACTAATGTGTTAGGTGTGTGTTCAGGAGATATGCAGTTCATATATGTGTTTCTGGGGTGGGAGGGTTCCGCATCAGACTCTAGAGTGCTACATGATGCAATTACTAGGCCTAATGGTTTTAAGGTACCAACGGGTAAGAGTATTAGTTAGTCTCAACTTTGTAAGTTATGTCTAGTTTTGTTTGTCAACTACAAAACACTAATAACGTTTTTTTTTATTAGGCTATTATTACCTTGTAAATGGTGGTTATACAAATGGTGAAGGATTCCTTGCACCCTATAGAGGAATACCTTATCATTTATCTGAATGGGAGGGACGAACGCCTTCTAATAAGGAAGAGTATTTTAACATGAAGCATTCTAAGGCAAGGAATGTAATTGAACGCTGTTTTGGCTTGCTAAAAGGAAGGTGGTCGATACTAAGAAGTCTATCTTTCTATCCGATAAGGACACAAGGTCGAATAATTACCGCTTGTTGCCTACTACACAATCTTATTAGGCAAGAGATGTCTGTAGATCCACTGGAAAATTTGCCAATAATACAAGATGGACAAAATACAGAAGAAGGTGAATATGTTGGTAGTGTTGAAACATCTGACCAGTGGACTGCAAAGATGAATGCCATGGCTCAGGAAATGTATAATGAGTGGAGAGCAATTAGGAACCAGCAACCGAACTAGCTATATGTGTTAATGATAACATTTTATTTTAGTATTCCTTTTTATCATGCATTTGTTGGATATTAGCATAATTATTAGATTGCTCATCAGTGAATGTTAAAATTTTTTTATTGATTAGATGGTATGCAAATTATTTGGATATTATGCAAATTGATTGGATATTATGCAAATTGATTATTTGTATTGTATTTTAGTACATTCAAATATTTTTTGTTTAGGTATGGATAAAGACAATATTTTGAATGCTACTCAAGAGCCAAAAGGAAGAAGGCGTAAATGGGAAGCATTTGAGGAAGAAGTATTACTATCTGTTCTTGAGGATTTTGTTGCTCGGAAGCAACGGTGTGACACCGGTGCTTTCAAACAAGGTACTTTGATTGAAATAGCTGTCAATGTCAATTTTATGTCCTCATTCCAATATAAAGGCAACTCCACATATTGAGTCAAAGTTGAAGAAATGGAAAAAAACATTATAGTATGGTCGTTGACATGATAAACACAAGTGGATTTGCATGGAATGATGTCAAAAAGTGCGTTGAAGTTGACAGTGATGACGCATGACAAACTTATGTGCAGGTTCATATCCTATTTTATTTATACATTAGTTTTGTTCTTGCTGCTATATTTGTTACGCATGCTCAATTTTAGTTTTGCTATGTTGATATAATCTTAGAAAAATAAAGAAACCGATGGATGGAGAAGCAAACATTTTCCACTGTATGATAGATTTGCATATATATTTGGAAAAGATCGGGCTACGGGTAATGTAGCCGAAACCCCTGCTGAAATGGTGGAGGAACAAAGTCATGATCAAGTTGGTGCAAGTGATATTGGAGGTGAAAATGTTGTTTCTTCAATGAACGAACAAAGCCAACAAAGCATCCCATCTGAAAATAGCCAACGAAAGAGGAAAAGATGTGTGGGAAGTTCAAGTGATGGAACGAGGCAATTATCAGTGGACTGAAAGAATTTTATGGAAGAGGATGCAAATGGTAACTGAAGCTTTAGTTTATGGTACTGCAGATCATAGTGACATAGCTAACGAACTTGAAGAAATAAGTCTTTTCTTATGGATCAAAAAATTGGGATAAACCAAAAAATGTGTGTTCAGGGCAATCAAACCGGAACTCAAGAAAGTGTTTGTCCAAAGGCTTTTAAGCGACAAAGCAAGCGATGAGTATATTATGTGGTGCCTTTTGATATGGATGTATTTTATTAATCGTACAATCTTAGGTTATGACTTATAACTTAACTTTCCACTATGAAGTATTTTGGCTAATGTTAACTAGGAGTTTGTAAATTATGGAGATCTACTTTTGAATGGTTATACTATAGTTCACTGGTATTATTTTGTAAAATATCCTGGATAAAAGTTTAGTGAATGATGTTTTAAGAGTCAATCAATCAAATGGCAAGTCAAGTATTCTTCTTATGTACTTTATGTACTTCTTGCTTAAAGCTAGTCAGCTATGAATTATGCCACATGGAAAAAGAGGCGACCCTTATAGCCTGTTTAATTACCATGCTTTTCTATCTTCTTCTTTTCTTTGAGCAAAGGTTTTGTTGGGTACACTTGGAGATTTCATTGAAACCAAGTATTAGTTACTCACGTTTCCCCTTCCTTCAAACCCTCCACCATTGGACTTGTTTCCAAATATCATATTCACCCAACAGAGAACCAGCACAGAACTCAAGTGCACTTGCAATTTTATTGTTCATTGTTCAGACAAATATCTAATATGAGTTCCGTTTTCTTAAACTCTATAATCCAAGAAAACTATCATTAGTTAATGTTCGATTTTATTGCATAAAGTTTAGGATTACTCTATTACACAAGTATCTTCTCATGACATTTGTAGCATTACTTTATTACACGATGGCAAAAATTTGTAGTCCTAGTGTAAGCAAACACAAATCTGATGAACATTACTGTCTTTATTATCCTGCTTCTTAGTCCGACACTGCACCAAACGCTTCACTAAGTTAGTCCAGCTTAGTCTTAAGTAGTCTAAGCCAGTCCAGCTTAGTCCCTGCAGCTAGTATAGTGAAAACTGATAAGCCTTCGCAGTCAGACACTCACGAACAATAAAACACCAAATGTAGTTTAAATAAAGCCGGCCCACATCCTCTGTTTCCGTCAGTCACGATCCTAAAAAGTTCCCTTGCTTCCAACTCCACACTCACGTCTGATCTTCAGAACCCTACGCACCATTCATCTAATAAATATACAATCATCGACCATATCACATTTAAAGGTCACAAAAGTCGTAAATCCGCTATTAACCAAGAAACCAGATGGCAACCGGAAACGATCTATCTATATAGAAAAGAGACCTTTCTCCTGCTTTGACAAATAAAACGTGGCAGTGTTTCGTTGAGGTACATCTTTCCTTAGTACCCAATTGGACAAACATTGCGTTCATTTTCTATTCGTCATCTATCAATAGTCTGATATGAGGGCTAAACTCTTACCACAGATGAGGGTGAAGAGGGAAGATCATGATTAGTCTAAGCCTCAAGGACTGCCTGGTATGGGGACAAAATTATCCCGACCTTGACTGTTCAAGCACAAGTACGAACTCATAGAGGCCCTAGTATCAGGGTAATGCCTTCACTAAGTCATCCCCTCACCGATGCAAAGCACAGGTCAAACACATCCGCGCCTACGCTAGATATATGCAGAAAGTTCTGATTGCAAACTGATAAGCCTTCGGTCAAGACTCACAACATAACAACAGCATAATGTAGTTCAAATAAAGCCGCCCACATCCTCTTGTTTCCGTCAGTCACGACTAAAAGTCCCTTGCTTCCCAACTCCCACACCTCACGTCTGATCCCAGAAACTCCTACGCACATTCATCTAAAATTATACAATCATCGACCATATCAGAGTGAAAGGTCGAAACACGTATGCGACTAAATTAACACTGAGAATCCAGTGGCACGGAAAACCGATCGAATTATATAGAAAAGAATGCGGACATGAGATTCTTAGCAGCTTAAAGGCTCTCCAGCAACAATTACCAGACTGAAAAATCAGATTTTGGGATCAGTAGATTAGTCATGAGAGCAGTGAATTGAGAATCACCATTGCAGTGGCTCCTGGGCTAGAAACCTCTGCTCCGCCGCAAAGCTATCAAAGCGAGCCGCCGCAGACGTGGTAAAAGATTCGACAAGAAGCAAGAACTGCTACCGCCACGTACGCAGCACACCAAACTCCAGCCGCCAACAACAAATTCAGGGCATCGCCGTAGGCCATATAAATCACCAATCGCGCCTGAAACCATAAAAAAATGGCATAAAAATTACACAAATAATACATCAAAAATACAAAACTTTAACATAATCAGAGGCGGAATCGATCATAATTTCATACATCAAATTGCGTAGAATCGATTGGCGCTTCTAGTTGGGATTTTAGGGGACGATTGTACTGAGAAAAGCAGAAGATTTGATGCAATTGCAATGCGGAAAATCGGAATCAACAGAAAAGGGGATAAGTGGAGAGAGGTTTTAAGTTAATAGAAAAAGGGTTTTCCCAACATGGCCTTCAAACGTGGCCTGTGAGATTCGGACTCGGACTCGGACTCGGAGTGGGCTTCGGATTCGGACTCGGAGCCTGTGAGATTCCGCAATTTTTAAAACATGGCCTTCAAACGTGGGCCCGTTACTTGGAGCCTAGTTTTTGAAAGAGTGTATTACAATTGGACCGCTTCAATTCAATTTTTTTTTTTTCGAAGAGCAATACGTGGAGATCAAGTAAGGTAAAATATTTAATATATAAAATTATGATTTGATATGAGTGTGATAAGAAGTTTTACATCATAGATTGTGCAAAAACACATGTACGGAATTACCTGTGCAGGTAATTTGCTTTTGACAGTTCTATTCCACACTTATTTTTACTTTTTCTACATTTATTAACCCTTTGTCATTTATTTATTCAATTGATTCCGACACTTGAAATTTAGAGAGGTGGGAAAAAAATTTAGTTGTGTGAATAATACTTCCGTTTGCTTTAACCAAATACGTTGGTTACAGGTGTCAATCAAAAAGCATAGGAGGACGAGAGACTGCTGTGGCATGTTTGAGCATTTAAAAGAGGGATTAGAATCTTATCCGTATCCTCTTGGCAGGAATCAGAATGATCAATCAATTATATACATTCATCGTATATCGTACGATAAGAAATCATTCTGAATTTTTTTTTTTAAATTGAACGCAAACAGTACTTAATAAAAACTAATTATATAATGCACAATAAAGATATTGGTGACCCAAGTACACAAATCCAGCGCCAAACCTGGCAAAATTGTAAAACAGAGGATTTTGTGTGTGTGTGCATGATTGATCCAATCGCAACCAGAAGGAGTGGACAGAAAAGAAAGAAAGTACTCTCTCATCAGATCTGACATGTTTGACAAGATGTAACATTATTTTGCCCCCACCCACCCCCACCTCTTACCCAACTCAGTGCGATACAACAAATAAGATCCAAACAAACAACCCAAAATGTCTCTGGTTGCACAGTCAATGCAACCCTAAGCATAATCATGTTGGATTACTATTTACCCTCCATACTTTTGAGGGAGAGGATTCTTTTCCTTTTCTTTTACGTTATCTATTAACCTTTTTTAGTTCCTTTATCCATTTTCTTTATCCATTTTTATGCCCCTCTAATTTAATAAAAATTAGATTTCATATGTTCTATATTTTATTGTTTTCATCTTACTTTGCAATGGAAAGGGGTCCTCTCCAAATCCATTCCTCATAATCTACCAAATTAGTGGATCGGTGCAATTAAAATTTGATCTAACGGCTATAAACAGAGATTCACTTTAAAAGTTATAATAACTTCAGCCGTTTGATCAAATTTCAATGGCACAGATTCACTGATTTGGTGGATTAAGAGGAATGAATCCGGAAATGATCATTTTCCCTTTGCAATTGCACGAAAAAATATATGACCTAAATTTTCTCCATTTAATTCATGCATATAAATAACTTGCATCACAAGTAAGTCGAGCGTCGTACATAACTTATACAAGTGATTGATGAGCGATGTAGTCATTTGTATACAATGTGAGGAGTAGTAACTTTTACCATTCAATAAGGAAATGAGATAAACATTTTTCACATATTGCAAAATTCAGTTACACTATGCTGAAGTTAATTAGGTCAAATTAAATATGTCTGAAGCCTTCCCGTTATTAGGAACACACCCCATTTCCAATAGGTGGAATCACATTAATGAATCTAATGGTGTATATGCTGAAGTTACTTGATTCCTAACTTTTATTCATACATATAGACCCCATAATTCATCAAAGACCGGGAGGAATTGAACGGAGCAAAAATCTTGTTTGAGAAAAAACAATTGGCACATGAGGATCTTGCATGCTACATGTTGCGAACTGTATTCAGAGCGTAACACTCACAAATTGTTGTATGTTTATAAAAGAAAAATACGTGACGAGAGATATATAATTGATTTACCATGAAATAGGATTTGGATTCCATTTGGAGCCAAATTGGAGAGATTTTAGGAATCTTCATATCCTAATCGTTTATCGTATATCTTGAGGCCATAAATTATTTTGAATTTTTTTATTTAAGATTAAACACAAATAATACCTAATAAAAACGGATTACACAATATACGATGAACAATAAGGATCTCTAGGATCCTTCCTTACAAAGAAGATCATGAAAGAAACCTCATCGGATGAAAAAAATACATACAAAATTTGCCCCAATTTTGAGGAGCACAAACTGTGCATAGTAAGAGTCCGTTCTGTCCTTAGCTATCCCCTAGCAGCCCTTAAACAGTAGGCACTGTTACTCTCTTTTCGAAAATAAATGTGCAGTGTGAGCAAATATGGGCAGTTTAACATTTGAAACTGAAAAGCATGTGAGTTAATCAGTTGAGGTGAGAGGGAGCACCGATTGCCGCACCAGAATTAGGTTACAAAAGATCTTGCCGCACGACGAGTCACGTCCACTGCCTAATCAAATCACATTTTAATCTTCATTGCAAGGATTTGGATCCTCTCCTGAGCTTAGCCTACTGAGTTTCTTGAGCAAATCACACATATCGTTGAATTTTAATCAAACGATTACAATTATTATAATTTTTAGAGAAATCCCTTATTTATAAATGTTGGTCTGTGTGATTTGCTCAAATATTTAGCAGGCTGAGCTCATGAGAGGATCCAAATCCTCATTGTAATCAAAATTTCACTGTTTCAAACAAGAAAGAGAAGGGGGGAGAGAGAGTGAGAGATTAATGGCGCGTTTACGTAACGGTAATGGAAATAGAAGGAATTAAATTAAGGAGGAATTGAATTGAAAAGAAGTTTGAATGAGAAGAAGTCAGAATTGGATTTCTGTTGAAACTGTTTACTTAAATGTTCTAGAATCAAAATAGAATTTTATAAAATTGTTTACTAATTTAGCAGAATCAGAATATAAACCAATATGATTACTAAAATACCCTTGTCCCAAATCAAATATTTTATATACTTTAATGGGTTTATAAAGGATAGTCTTGGAAATAAAAAAATAAGTGAGGGCATAAAGGGAATAAAAGTGTCATTCCGATTACCCATATAATCATGAATTGGATTACCACTTATATCTAGAGAATCCAATTCCACCGATAGAAGGAATTGAATTTCAAAATTTGTGTGAGCCCCATTGCATTTTTTATTCATTTATATTTAATAAATACCGAAGTACTTCGTAATCAGAATTCAATTCTACATTCTTATTTTGATTACGATGACATAATCACACCTTAAGAGAGAGAACGGAGAGAAAACGGACTCCGCAGTGTCGGTATCCAACAACTGAATCTTTTTTTTAAATTATATCTCAAAATTTAAGAATGAATACACTCAAATTATCGGGTACTTCGGACCACAATTTTTTTTTATTTAGAGAGGGAAAAGGCAAGTAATAAAGGTGATGTTTTGTTTATAGACAGCATGACGTGACGTTTCTGAAGTGACATCCAAACTGTCGTCACTTGGAGAGATTACAGAGATTATTATATATTAAGTATAGTGATAAAAGGAGTAAAATTTTCTTTTGTTCTAATTTTTTTTTTCTATTTTTCCTTGTATTTAAATGATTATGAATAAATGACTTTAACATATTATTTTACATTTTTTTCAAAAAGACAAAAAAATATATATATATGAAAAGAGGAAAAGAAAATGGATGGTAATAAGAAGGAAAAAATTCCTTCATCATAAAATTAGTCGAAAATTTGAAAATAAAAAATTCAAACCAATGATATAATAACACTTGTGTATTAGACCATGTTTGCGCTAGTTGGTTTTATCTTTGGCTAATATTAGGAGATTAAATTTGTAAACAAAGTAATGTAAACTAAATAACATGTACGTTGATGATATGATTATTAATTAAACATTAATAAATGTATTCGTTTTTATTAATAACATTTCATTTAATTTGTAAATTTTATTTTTGTATGGATCCTACTTTTGTCATCTTCCCCATCTTCTCTCTCCTCACTGAAATTATGTCCCCCACCTCTTCTCATCCCCTCTCCTTTCCCTCTCTCTCTTCCTCCCCGGCCCCCTACCCTTTATATATTCCTACACGTCCTTCTACCTTCTCTTATACATTTCACACAGCATTTTGTCCTCATACCATCGCACCAATTAATCGTTTTGAAAGCCATTAACTTTTTGTGTCATGTCAGCAGCAGCCGCAGCCGCCGCCGCTGCGGCAGTGAGTAGGTCTAGCTCCACCAACAGTAATTCTATCACCTACAACTACCGCCACCAACCGTTATTCAAGCCGTCCTCGCTAACGGCCGTGGTGCCGGTGCTGAGCAGGTACGAGTCCCAGAAGCGGCGGGACTGGATCTCGTTTGGGCAGTACCTCAAGAACCACCGCCCGCCGCTGAACCTGTCCCGCTGCAGCGGGGCCCACGTGCTGGAGTTCCTTAGGTATTTGGATCAGTTCGGGAAGACTAAGGTCCATGCGGACGCTTGCCCTTTCTACGGGCACCCTAACCCTCCTGCACCCTGTCCGTGCCCGCTGCGGCAGGCCTGGGGCAGCCTCGACGCAATCATTGGAAGGCTTCGGGCAGCGTTTGAGGAGAACGGCGGGCAGCCCGAGACCAACCCGTTTGGGGCACGAGCAGTGAGGCTGTACCTGAAGGAGGTCAGGGACAGCCAGGCCAAGGCCAGGGGAATTGCTTATGAGAAGAAGAAGAGAAAGAAAGTAGGTCCATCACAACAGCCGGAAGGGCAAGATGATGTGGAGCAGCAGCAGGGGCAACATGGTACTTTTGGTTCAGATTATGGGTATGGTGCTGCTGTTACTTCATCTGCTGATGCTGCTAGGTGCTCTATGATGCCTTTGTCTGTGCTAATCTGATTAAGCTTGTAATTAATTAAGTAATGAATTATATTTATGTAGTTAGGTGCATCATGATATGAATATCCAATGGATTTTGATGTGTTGTGTTACTAAGTTGTTAACCTTTTCTTTCTTAATTAGAA